TGCATCTTGTTTGAGCATCATTATTTATCACTCCTTTGCTGAGCCGGAATATTCCACGAATAATGTTTCCCCTCCATTTATTAGCTTTCTGGGGAACCGTGTGTTGACCGCAGCACTTCTCAGTTTTGCTGCAGAGCACAAAGTTAAACCCGAGGTCCCCAACGGAACGGTAAAAGCACCGACGGACCTCCCCGAGCGCCAGTTTCCGCACACTGCAGCAGAAGAAGGCTCACACTTCTAATTGAAAGGCTGCGGCCGTCCCCGACAATCAGCCCCTTCCACCAGTGATTATAGATCTGACTTTGTGACCCCCCGAATACGAATTCCCCACAGTCTGGAAACCCTCCGGTGCCTCCTTAAAGCCTGGCAAGACTGACCACGCTGTCACGACGAGTTTCCAGCCTCCTCAGGGCCCTCATTATAGCCGACAGTGAAATCCTTCTTTTTTTTTTTGCAGCTCACGACTTCCTACTTTCTGCTCATTTAAATGATCCCACATACACCCATATTATTATTAATACCCGCTTGTTTCCTGCTCCCTAACTAATCGGATAACACTCCTCAGGTGCAGACGGATGCACGAGCTTCAAATCGGTACATTGAGTTCTCGCCGATGCTCACGCCGGCGCCCTTTTCCGAGCTGACCCCTCTGACACAGAGGCTTGAATTACTCTTAGTGGAAGGAGCGCTGCAAATGAAATATCAATGATTGCACTTTGTCAGGTTCAGCGAGAGCGTGAAAGGGCTCCATCCTGAAGTGGATTCAGTGCACAAAGAGGCACTGAGTTGTCTTTTTTTTTTTTTGCACATGTTAATGAGGTCTTGTTTGGCGTGAAGCCCCGTCAATCATGCGAGACAACAGAATCCAGTCGCCTTTGTTCTGGCATAAATCTACAGCACTTCCTTTTTACTACTCAGTCAAACCTGAACAGACATTTTTAGATTAAGCGTGATGTACGCTTTCAGATGACGTCGCCAATGCTGACGTCATTAACGAACAACTACTGCTTTACAATCATCCATCCATCCATTATCTATACACCACTTAATCCTCACTAGGGTCACGGAGGGGCTGGAGTCCATCCCAGCTGACTCAGGGTGAAGGCAGGGGACACCCTGGACAGGTCACCAGTCTATCACAGGGCTACACTTAGAGACAGACAACCAAGCACACTCACATTCACACCTACGGACAATTTAGAATCACCAATTCAACTCAACATGTTTTTAGACTGTGGGAGGAAGCCGGAGAACCTGGAGAGAACCCACACTGCACGGGGAGAACATGCAAACTCCACACAGAAAGATCCCGGGTGTTCGCGAACCGGCGACCTTCTTGCTATGAGGCAAAGTGCTAACCACTGCTCCACCTTGCAGCCTGCTTTGCAATCAGAGTAAAAAAAAAAAAGACACTTCTCTTAAAATGCTGAAAACCCGAAATCATCGAGTTTTCTCAGCTATAAAATAAAGCTGCAATAGTCGTCTGCACAGCATCGGATAATTCGCAAACAAGCTCAGTTTTGCAATCTGTCCCTGGATTAAGATCACAAATTTACCAAAATGCAAACTAAATTTGCTTCCATGACAACACTGTGCATCCTGCTTTCATCCAGCAAAGCACTTAAGGAGCCCATTATTGATTATCGTCCAAACAAATAAGAAAAAAAATCCATTCATATAAAGTTCTTTAGAAGCTTTTCCGGATGTTTTTTTTGACATTTCCGAGGCTTAAACTTTCCCATCGATGCGGTTCTTATATTGCGCTCTCCTCTGATCCGCTTACATCCCCTTAGAAACAACACTATGCGGCACACCTGAGCTTAAAAGAAACACTAAATAAGGAAAGAAAAACAAGCTGTAAATCCTGGGCTTTAGTAAAGGTTGATCTCTGTGGCCGGTCTATCATTATGGATTTCCTTTGCTGATCTGGTGTTGTGTGTGTTTTTTTTTTATTTACTGCAGTATGTCAATTACCTACTGGGTGCCATGTGTACCGTAGTGACACACCGGCACATGTACATTAACACACACTCACACACACACACACACAGATAAGACGTGTTCAGATCACTGCCAAGCCAAAAGCATGCAACATGATAAGAACTTTTGTTTTTTTGTTTTTTTCACATGAACACAGATGCATTACATGTGTCAACAAGGGGGGAGAAAAAAAAGGCTCACCAGTTTCCAGCAACCCTACAGTACACACACACACACACATATCAATGCAATTATGGCAGCATTTTTACAGACACACTTGAACTTTTAGTTACATGGTTATACTCATACATGACTCTTTCGGAAACTTAACGTGACCACAGTGGAGAGACAAGCCCGAATGAAGTGAGCATGAGTGATGATGGATGCAATGAGGTGCCATGTGGAGTTATGTCGCCGCGATGTGGTGATGCCACGTGAGTAGATGACCAACGAATCACTGACAACAATGCGGAAATACAGAAATCAACAACAACAGAATACAGCTTTTCGGAAAAATAGATAAGACGCGACGAGAACAGAAAAAATCAAATCAAGAAGAAAGAAAAAAAAGGAAAAAGGACAAAAAACCACAAGCTGCTTTCTGTCTCGGCCCCAGAGAGTCCTGCTTTGAAGTGGTTTTGCTTCAGAGATTTGGCAGTGGGGGGTGGTTTTTTTTTTTTGTGTTAAGGAGCCGGAGGGGTTGACAAGTTAGTGAGGACCTTCAGTTGTGCACTTTGTTTGTGCCTTTAGCTAATGGTCCATAAGCACAAAGCAATCACAAAAGGCCCCAAACGGCTTCCATCAAGCCAAGTTCAAGCTGCTGAACTCCGATCGATTCTTGTCTTTCTTTTCTTCTTCTTTCTTTTTTCTTGTCTACCTTTCCAATTTCCCCCTCCGGCTTTGATCTTATAAGAGTCACTCCTGTGTAATTTTACCCACAGCCTACAGAATCTAAACGGGTTTTGAGTGCATCACCAGGCTTTCTGACAATTCCTAGATAAGCTTTTTTTTGGGGGGATATTTTTTTGCTCTTTAAAGTGACAAAGCTACTAATGACTGCGTTCCCTTCCTCGACGCCTCGGCTCTTTGGTCTATCCGTGGGGCCGATTTCATACCACGGGGATGATTAAACCGCGATTGTGTCTGTGCTTGTTGCTCTGCAGCCTTTCTCTGTTCCGTCCAGCACCTCGGGGGCTATGATTTGCCATCAATACGCGTTTGCTTATCAGCTATTTTCTGCCAAGCTCAGACAATGCAGCAGAGCGATCCTGTGAAACGTGCGGTCCACAACAAACAAACCATTTCGGGGGCCGATGGCTTAATTGCTATCGATGCGCCTCGGCTAGATGAGCGCCGTCATTTTCGGTGAAACTCTGTTTGCACTTGGGTAAATAAAGGCAGGAGGCAAACAAAATTTCATGCTGTCAGTTGTGCTTGGAAAGGGGCGAGGTAATTCCTTGTCAAAGCCATTTATTATTTCTTTTCTTTTTTTTTTAAATCTACTTCTATGTTTTTGTAGATAGCTTATTCAGCACTAAATAATAATTATAAAGTTCCTTCAAAGCCACCTAGCCAGCTAATGGTCAAATACAAATACAGCCATTACAGCAGCTTGTTATTAGTTCTTCTAAATTTCACCTTTCTCAGGATGATGGGTGCAAATTACCACATCAACATCAGAACTCTCTAAACCCCAAACTCTGCTGGTGGGTTTGAAAGGTATGTAATATTTATATAGATATATTAAATTAGAGCCAGAAAGTTTAAACTTTGTTTCCTTCTTTGCACGAATTAAATGTGTTTTCACTGGGAAAACGAATCAGCTCTAAGCTTCAAATCCTTTCATTTAAAACATGTTAAAAATAAACCATTAGCACGAACCGGATTCTGTAAAAATACAAAATCCTGAGTGTAACTGGGAAGCTGTGAGTAAGTCAGCTGCAACCAGGAATCACGTGACTACATTTCAGTTACTATTCGGCTGAACTGCAGGAAACTGGAAGCAGATTTGGTCGGCTGAGAGCGAAATAACAAGTTGTTAGCACTTTGTTAGATGTTACATTCATGCATCTTTCTATTGTTGATGTGCAGAGTCGTGTAACAATATTTGTAGAGGTTGCAAAAATAGCATCTTGCACCATATTCTTTCCAGTATTAGTAACACCTATGGCCAAAGAAATTTGTTTTTTATGATTTGTGTCAATTAAAATTCTGTTAAGCTGCAGATGAGATGCGTTTTACTTCGAGCCGTGGTTGTTCTGTTTCCATAGAGGTGCAGGACTTTATGTTGCAGAGAAAAATGAACCCACAGTAACAGAAACTATGTGGAGTTCAGACGGCTAAACTGGCTGACTTGAAAAGATTTACATGAACATATAAGTCACTGTTTCCCAATTCGATGCTCCCATTATTAACCGGTAGCATCAGCTCTGTGGTTATGGTGCTAATCTGAAACAAAACGATAACAGCAGCATCATCATCCAGCTTTGCTCACTAAACAGGCCTAATATTTTCCCCAGTTTCCATACAGATGGCTCTGCGAGCACTTGACCGCTGTCCAAGTAACGGGACCTTGATGTCACTGATTTGGATGTTATTACTGTGTTCCAGCGTATTTATCTCAGTAGTGAGACAAACACGGCGCTAATACTGCCCGGAAATAACAGAATCCAGGAAACCATCTCAGCCTCAGTAAGACTCAAAACCCTGAAGACGTTTCAAACTGTGAGGAGTGACTCCCTCTGTTTAAGACTCTCCCTTGTTTTGGTTTATAAAATCAGATCAGCCCCCTGCGTGTAAGGAACCTGAAGCATTTCCAACCACTTCAACTTAGACACCACTGCTGGGGTAATTGTGTTGACTAGGGTAGCTACTGCAGCACCGCTATTAACAGGATGCATGATAAGTGGCTGCAATTCAAATTTACAGGAAAGGAAAAAGAACTTCTTTTTTTTTTTTTTCAGAGTAAATAAAATAAATAAAACATTTGTGCGGATGTTACAAGGATGCAGTCGTCTTACCTGGGGACACAGGCGGTGGAGGTCTCCCCCTCGGGGGCCTCTGGGGCTGGGCAGCAGAACTGGTGGAGCACCGTCTGGTTGCTGTGTGGAGAAGAGAAGAAACGGAATCAATAATTTAAAAAAAAAAAGAGCATAAATATGCCATGTGCTTTATGGTAAAAGCTGAGATCTACCCAGAAGCATCCGTCCAACCATGGCGTAGTGACTTCAACCAGGAGCTAAATGGATTGTAAAGTGACATGCATGGAGATGTAGGAAGAGAGATACTGAAGGGTACGTTTTAAAAACCCTCTCCAAAAAAACATGATGGAAAGCCTTCTTCATGATGGCACACTGGCTACGTTCTGTGTGCTGGTGGCTACTATAGCAGATGTATCAGCAGCTCTGTAAAGCAGCTCACTAAAAACCATTTTCAGCCAACAAACTTTAGATTCATCTTACAAAGGCAGACCTGTTTCTACTGAGACTGGTCTGACTTGCCCTTATGATCATCTATACGGGGAAAATGGTCTGGTGTGGTTGTGTTTCTTTACATCAGCGAGGCTGAGCCCAGGATGCAGTGATGGTGCCCTTGCAAAAATAGTGACAATAAATGTTTTTGGTGGTGTATTCACAGAGGAAAAAAGACAAAAAAGAACCAGCAGGGCTGCCTTATTGTGCAGCAGCAGGTTGTTGTTGTGGTTTCTCTGGTGAAAGGAGACTGACAAAATGGTAACACAGATATTGAGAAGGGAGGACAAAGCCGTGTGAAAGGTGTGAGTCAGAATGACATCAGCTTTATCAGCAGACTGGTTAACCGGGCTGATGGAATAGTTAGAGTCAGCAGCAGTGTTGTTATAGATGAAGAGTCTGCTTTTTTTGTACCTATGACTACAATCAAGGATTCATTTAAAGAAAAAAAAATAGGACAGGAGTACGAAAAGGCATGTATGGATCAATGAATGGTAAATGGTCTGCACTTATATAGCGCTTTTCCACCTTTGTGGTACTCAAAGTGCTTTCACCTATTCACACACACATTCATACACCAGTGGCGCTTGCCTGCCATTGGGAGCAACTTTAGGTTCAGTGTCTTGCGCAAGGACACTTCAACTGTGGAGGGGCGGGGGATCGAACCACCGAGGACAACCGCTCTACCACCTGAGCTGCCCTCTATCAATGACATCCAAGATTATGTTCAGTGGAAGAAGCACAGTGAGGCAGAGTGAGGAGGTCGGGGTGGTGGACGGGCGCTGACTGTAATGCACAATACCAGAGTTTTCCATGTCTCCTGTGCAACAAGACTGTAATTTCAATTACATTTTGAGGGAAACGTATTTTCTGCTCAATTACCTTTGTGATGTATCACAAATACGCTTCAAGTAAACATGCCGTTGACATTTATTTAATTACTGTTGCTCCTTTGCAGCCAACCAATCACATATTAGATCGGGTGGAACTCATCACCCTGATAATCCAGAAGATGCTTTCAGCACGTAGCTGAACCCAACCAAAAACTACATTTAAGTGAAAGGATGATGTTTAACAGCTGACATGAACCCTCATTTCCTGGTTACAATGTGTCTCCCTCCTTTCCACAGAAACCTTTCACAGTCTTACTTGCTGATGAGAAAATGTTTCAGAATGTAAATGTGAGTTGCACAGGACAAATATATGTTTACATGTAAGCTGAAGTGGTTTTCTTATTTTGCCGAGTGAATGTGCAGATTTGGAAAGCACTGCATCTGTACCTGCCAGTGGGCCGTATCGATAAGAGCAGACATAATTAATCCTAAATATTCCACTACAGCAGAGACGTGATGTTCTCTGCAATTAGGTGGGGAAAAAAAAGATCTGTGCATATATCTGTATCTGCATCTGCAAAAAAAAGAAATCAGCGTCTCAGACTTTGGCAAAAATCCAATGTTGTGCATCCCTAGAAAGCCTGAATTTTTAAAAGCTGTTGGCATTGAAAGTTAAAAAAAAGTTAAGTAATCATGAATAATTTGCAGAATCATCCGGTGGTGACGTTCTTTCTCCGTCAGGGTGTTTTTTTCACCTCTAAAAAGCTCACAAAAATGTTGACACCAGCTTGATATCCCAAATCCTGAACGGCGATCTCTCAGCTAACACAATCTGGATGCGGTTACATAATGAGTATGCGGCTGATGCATTTTGGTTTATTTTTGGGCTACCCTTCTGGGTTGAAGCTACTTAATGATCTGCCTCAGCGTCAGGGTCCTGCTCCGTGCCTTTCCCTCTCACCCTCCCGCTGTTTGTCCTCTGTGAAGCCCATTTCAACCACAGCCGGCGCCCTCTGCTTTGTCTGCGCTCATGTTTGAGAGGAACTTTTGGCTCCTCGCGCAACCTCGTTCGACCCCCGGACACGGTGTTGTTTATTTACAGGGAGACTCTCACGGTCACCCTGGCGTGAAATCACAGTGCCACTGTCGGTTAGGTTGGCGATCAGAAGGATGTAGTGGCCTGAATTTGAGCCGCTGACAGGTTCCTTGCATGATTTACAGCCGTCCTACTGATCGTGCACCTGGGTACAGCCACGTGTCTCGAGAGAACTTTACTCTCTGACTTATTTGTTTTGGTGGGTAATATTAATTCAAGTCAGGGTACAAATAACGTGGTTTTCCTCCTTTTTTTTTATCAAGGTATGCCAATATTATTTATACAGTCATATAATATATCATATTATAATAAGAATCCTCTTTATAGGTCACTTTTCAAGTTACAAAATGCTTCCAAGAGCAGTGAAATAAAACATACAGCATGAAATCATCTGGATTTAAGAGACACAATATGGGATATTAAACCAGCAGTGTTTAAAAGTCAAAATAATATTGGAGAAAACAAACACCGATTTCCTCGGGCAGATTGTTCCAGAGCCTTGAGGCTCCTGTTCAGCTTTCAGTCGGGCACCTGGAGGAGACAAAAGCCTTCTGCCCGAGCATCCCAAAGTGATGCATAATATACTAAAAGGTCAGAAATACAAGTAGGAAAGTGTCCATGAAGGGCCTTCAAAGTTATCATTGTAATGCTAAAATCTAAACCCTAAAACGTTCTGGGAGCCAGAAGCAAAAACAGGAGTGACGTGCTCACGTTTCTTGGTTCTGAATTATCTGGAGTTGAATAGTTTTTGTGGTTCAGGCAAGAAAAAGCATGAAAGGTCGTCTCTGTATCTCATGTGTTGTGCTGCTCAAAGCTTTATTCACAGTCGAACCAGACTCTGAGATTCTTTACCTCAGGATTAACGTGATCTAAAAGAGAACCAGCTGAATCTGCTTTTTCCTGTGCTGTGATCCGATAACAAGAATATCAGGGTTGCAGGTCCTTTACACCAGTGCTGACTTGTTATATCTTTGTCTGCTAATTTCTGAGAGACTGAGCTGCATGAAGGTTTTTCGCCTTTTTACTCTTAAATAACATTTTGTTAATGAATCCCGCCCACAGACAGGCGTCCTTATGTGGCAACGTTAGGGGCGTTGATTATGCTGATAAACTAAAGAGGTTAATCAGGCTGAAAGGAGCGATTCATGAGAGGTTCTTGGAGTTGAAAGAGTTTTTCGGATAATGGGGGCTGCAAGGTCACTGTCACCTCACAGCTAGAAGATCCCCGGTTCAGGTCCTGGTGAGAACACCCGGGATCTTTCTGCGTGGAGTTTGCATGTTCTCCCCGTGCAGCGTGGGTTCTCTCCGGGTTCTCCAACTTCCTCCCACAGTCCAAAAACATGTTGAGGTTAATTGGTGATTCTAAATTGTCCGTAGGTGTGAATGTGAGTGTGCTTGGTTGTCTGTCTCTAAGTGTAGCCCTGTGATAGACTGGTGACCTGTCCAGGGAGTCAGCTGGGATAGACTCCAGCCCCCCCGTGACCCTAGTGAGGATTAAGTGGTGTATAGATAATGGATGGATGGATACTGAAAAGTTTCTTGTATGAGGCCCAGTGAACATATATTTCAAACTCCGATGAGAAGAACAAATGTCCGTCTTCAAAAGTGCGCTTGTTACTCCACGTAATGGAAATTTGGCGGAGAATGAATAAAAGATGCAGATGGAGCAAAAGGTTGCATTTAATGTACTTTGCTTCGCTTTAAAAGGGAGATATAAGCAAACAGACGGTATTTTGTCACCATGGAGATCCACACAAAGAGACTGCACTCAGTTATTTCAGCACCACGGACAGAGACAGAACAGGAGACCGCTTCTGGAAAGTTTCCTCCACAGACTTGCAGACTAACCGAGCCTGAGTAATCATCACGGCTCTAATGCAATGCCAGTAATGGACTCCAGCGCACTCATTTTTTTTTCCCACTCTTAAGGGAAAATACTTGTTTAAACCTGCAAAACTAATAGCAATTTATCAAAACGCCATATCGTGGCAGAAGAGGAATAACTACAATTTCAAAGATAGCGGGAGTGTGGCTGCAGCGGGTCGACTAATAAGGCATGTTTTCTGGAGGGTTCGGTGGATACGCAGGTGAAGGTGATATTGAAAGGTAGCGCGAGAAATAGCGAGGGTATAAAATTTTAATGTGAGAAAGTGCATTTTTCCCTCGGCGTGCCCTCTCCTTCCAACCAGGGTGGCTCGCCTCCCCGATTCTCACATGCATCCCGACTTCATCCATTTCTTCCTTCCGTACCGTCCCCTCCCCCAGCTGCCCCTCCACGGCTCTCCTCTCCTTCTACACTGATTTTCCATCACCCTCTATGACTCCCCATCCCCCTGTTCTACAAGCACAGCGTGTTGTGCTAAAGAGGAATTTGCTCAATTACTCTTGCTGTCAGAAGATGTAGCCAGTAAGAAGAGCAGCAGCAGCAGCAGCTCTCCGTATGTTGCATCTCCTCGGACGCAGGACACGAGGAAGGACATAGAGAGGAGAGGTGAAGAGGAGGAAGCAAGGTCGACATTCCCATCTATCCCTTATCAAACCTCCCTTTGTTTTTTTAAAGAGCTTTTGATCATTGACACTCGTAGCGCTGCATCTTTCGACTTCTCTCGACTGATGAGCGAGCGATAGTTTACCACGTGATGCACAGCGTCCTTGGAAAAAAAACTCTAAATTCCAAAATGGTTCACCTATGAAAGCACAGA